CGTGAGCATTTCCTCATGTGTCTGTTAGCCACCTGAATGTCTTTGGTGAAGTGCCTGTTCATATCCTTTGCCCATTTTATAATTGGGTTATTTATCTTTTTGTTGTTGAAGTGTTGCAGTATCTTGTAGATTTTAGAGATTAGACCCTTATTGGATATGTCGTAGCCAAAAATTTTTTCCCAGTCTGAAAGTTGTCTTTTGACTCTTTTGGTCAAGTCTTTTGATGAGCGTAAGTGTTTGATTTTTAGGAGCTCCCAGTTATCTAGTTTCTCTTCTGGTTTTTGTGCATTTTTAGTATTTTGTGTTCTGTTTATGCCAGGTATTAGGGCTCCTAGTGTTGTCTCTATTTTTTCTTCCATGGTCTTGTATCGTTTTAGATTTTATATTTAGGTCTTTGATCCATTTTGAGTTAGTTTTTGTGCATGGTGTGAGGTATGGGTCTTGTTTCAGTTTTTTGCAGATGGATATCCAGTTATGCCAGCCCCGTTTGTTAAAGAGACTATCCTTTCGCCATTTAACAGACTTTGGGCCTTTGTCAAATATCAGCTGCTCACAGGTGGATGAATTTACATCTGGAATCTCAATTCTGTTCCTTTGGTTTGTGTATGTGTTGTTGTACCAGTACCAGGCTGTTTTGACTACCATGGCGGTATAATAGGTTCTAAAATCAGGTAGTGTGAGGCCTCCCATTTTGTTCTTCCTTTTTAGTAGTACTTTACTTATCCGGGACCACTTCCCTTTCCATACGAAGTTGGTGATTTGTTTCTGCATCTCCTTAAAAGATGCCGTTATAATTTGGATCTTGATTGCATTGTATCTGTAGATTGTTTTGGGTGGAATTGATATTTTCACAATGTTGAGTCTTCCTGTCTATGATCTGCTCTTCTTTAAGCATCTCGAACAAACTTCATGCCTTATCATTGATTGTCACCGTGCTGAGAGGGATTTACTTTTGTATATGGTCCTCAATTCTAGTTGTTAGCAATTTCTCCATATCTGATCTAGGTCCCTCTTGCATTTTTGTTTGCCTTGTAGCTTTCAGTGAAGCTGATCCTTAAACAGCTTGGAGAATTTTATCTTTGTTTTCGAGGATTGTTACGATTCTCAAGTGCTACATGCCTAAATCTGCTGTATAACGTTCTACGATTGGAATTTCAGGACTCTGTTATAACCTTATGGGACCATGGACGTATATGCAGTCAGACGTTGCCCGGGCAAATGTTATGTAGGCATGACTATATATATATTCTAAAATAATTAGGAGGAAAATTAGTCTTTGATATTTATCTAGATACCATTTCTAGTGTTCATTTCTTCCTAAAGATTTAAATTTGCACCTGAGCTCATTGCCCTTTAGCCTGAAGAACTTCCTTTAACTTAACTTACAGTGCAGGTCTGTGGGTGAGAACGTTTCTTAATTTTTCTTTTATCTCTAAATGTCTTTATTCTACCATCATTCTTTTGTAAAGCAGCTTTATTGAGGTATAATTTACATACTACAAAATTCTGTCACTTTAAGTGGATAATTAAATGATTTTTAGTAAATTTACCAAGTTAGACTATAGACTGTATGGCCCGAAAAGTAAAACATATGTACTGTCTGGCCCTGTAACAGAAAAAGTTTGCTGACCTTGCAGACTAGTCTCTGACTGTTAGAGGAGTGAGGCTGTTTTCAGAATAAATCTTTCACACCATTTACTAAATGTGCTAAATAGTCTAGTGGCTTAAAAGCACCACCTTTTACAGAATACAGAGTTTTGAAGAAGTAGCACAGCTTCAAAAATCTTCCCATCAAGTGGTGGTGTTCTTCGCATTGTCAGCTCATATTCTGGTCACAGCTTTGAAACTGACTATTGTGAAGGGCTAGAGGTGTCTGTGACAAGTCCTCAACAGAATGGAAGTAGAAGAGCAAGATGTTGTCCGTATAGTGCAGGCTGTTCCAGGCCACAGAGACCTGGCCTAATATTGCTGAATATGATTTGAAAAAATTACCCCCCAAAATGAGAAAAACCATAAGAAGAACTATTTTACAAGATTAAGTACTGCAAATTGACAATGGCTTGGAAATCTGTTCCTTCGGTAGGTTACAGCTCATTTTCTCAGTGTGGCAAAATGTGACACATTAATTTTAAAGTCATCAGTTTTATAAAAGTAATACCATCTAGACAGTTTCTGGTTCAGTACTTGAGAACACAGGTATCTGAAAGCATCATAGTAAATGATTTAACTTTAAGCCTGCTCTAGAAAATAGTAATATTTTGACCTGATAAGATTTCATATAAATTTTCAGCCAAATTCATAAGTAATTGTTTAACCCTGAGAAAGGAAGTGTGGATTTTCTATGTTAAGTGAGAAAGAGTGAAATAAAAGGTGAATATCACCTTGTCTTTTCTCTTCTGACTGCTGCAGAAATATTAGTATAGTCCTGAAACAGAAAGCACAGGTTTAGTTTCATTCAGAATATTTACAACTTTCTTTCAGTTGTGAAAAGATAATAGTTGAATTAGAAGTATTGTTCTTAGCCTTCCTGTAACTCTGTTTTTATCCGTTTTCTGGTTTATATTTTTATTTTTTGGCAAATGTGCAAATAATTGGGATCTAATAAAATCCCATGCTAACTTGTGTATGTTAAAGTTCATAATAATGAAAACATTAAAAAAAAACTTTTTCTAACTGGTGACTTAATGGCATATAGTTAGTGATTTAAGATTATAGAGTTGTCTCTGCCTTGTGCTTGAGAAAATAAAGCTGCAAGGCTTAAAAGCGAAATAAAATGCAAAAACTGTAATAGTTAATGCTTCTATTTTATGAAGTTTCAGTTGCCTGCCCACCTTTGTTCTCATTTTGTATGCCTGGGTAGTTGGTTAATTAATTCTCTTTTAAGATTAGATATTTGCCTTGCATATGATGCCCAGTAATGATGAATCTAAATAACTCCTGTAATAATTTTGCCTGGGTAGTTGGTTAAATCTCTTTTAAGATTAGATATTTGCCTTGCATTTGATGCCCAATAACGATAAATCTAAATAACTCATGTAAACAGTTTTGCCTACTCTTTCCCATCTTTAAAAACAATTTAACTCTAAGAATAACGACAAGTAATTTAGTAGAACAAAAATAGAAAGAGGAAGAGAAAAAGACTTAAAAGACCATAAGTTCATTAGAGTAAGTCAGTGTACATGACTAAGAATGAAATAAATTTTGATTTGTGTTTGATATGCATATGGGTATCTTTGGAATGTGAATGCCTCAAAATTGATGAAAGAGCTATGGGAGTTCGGATTAAAAAAAAAAAAAAAAGCCACATTCTTAATGTGGTCGTCAGAAAAGGAGGTGGTCTTGGAGCTAGATTTTATTGTGCTTAAGAGTTCCTATCATCAGTCTGAAGCCAGTGTCCTTCCAGGGCGCTTCTCCAGCCCCTCTGCCTGGTGTTAAATCAATATACTGTAACAGTGTACTTCTCCGCTTGCCCCACTAGATGGCTCAGGCAGGAGCTGTGGTTTTTTTATTGATCTGGTTGCCCTCAGATGTAGAGGATTCTGTTACAGTCACTATTCAATTCATGGCACATGGGTCTAGACAAGGCCCTACTCTTGTTTTTATTTACTTGTGTATTTATTTCATGGTTTCCAACTGGTTCGTTCTGGTTTGAACCCCTGCTGAGAATTTGCATTTCTAACAAGTTCCCCGCTGAGAATTTGCGTTTCCACCCCTTATGTACTGAATCAGAATCTACATTTTTAACAAGATTCCCAGGTGATTCTTATGTATAACTTTCCGGGAACTTGTTAGAAATGCAAATTCTCATCAGGGGTTCAAACTAGACCAAGCTGGTTTACTGCCCTGGTTTATTTCCTTTTATACCCACACCCAACTTTCATTCCCTTTCCTCTCAGGCCGCCATTTTGATTGTTTAATGTGTATCTTTTTGTGTTTTACGTTCTTGCAAAATATGTATTGTATTTATGTGTACATGTATTTTTAAGTTGTGTCAGTTACATTGGTGTTATATCTCATTCTGTTTATTTTTGAGCACAATGTGTTTTAAGATGCCTCCATGTTGCCATGTGTACATCTAATCTGCTTCTAACTGGTACATTCACTCATGTTTCCTTTCCAGTCTGGAAGCTGTGCCTTCTATACCTTTATCCCCAGCTCCTAGCGTAATGGATGGTCCATAAATGTTTGCTCAATGAGTGAATGAATGAATGAGAAAGTTTTGATGATGCTCAGGATGGGGAAAATATCCAGGTAGAAGGGGCAGCGAGAGTGAAGACGTGGGAGTACAGTAAATAATTAGGGAAACAGGTAGTCAGAGTTTGTGTGTATGTAGGGAATGGTGGGAAGGCAGTGGAGGGAATTTTATGCCTGGATTGTAGGGGGGCTTTGGTGAAGAAAGAGCCTCGGTGGCCCAGTGATTAAGAGCTCAGTTGCTAACTAAAAGGTTGGCAGTTCGAATCTGCCAGCAGTTCCTTGGAACCCTGTGAGGCAGTTCTACTCTGTCCTATGGGGTTGCTATGAGTTGAAATCAACTTGATGGCAACAGTTTTGGTTTTGGAGAACGGATATTCAGGACCATGTTCATGTTAGAAATATCTAATGTGAATATATGATTAAGGGAGGAAAATAATGCAGAAATGTGTATGTGAGGTGTAGTTATAATGTCAGAACACAGGGGCAAATGTTTCAAATGATAGTCATTTCAACACAGTAATCCACCCTGGGGTGCTTCTGATTTCCTCCTCATAACTTATTATGGATAGATCAGAATGTTTGTTTTTAGCCTTATGCCCTCTTCTATAGCTTTTGAACAAATTGTCTTCCCTATCAGCATGTAGTTAAATGATATTCAGAACCAAGAAGTTTACCCATTGAGAAGATTTCCTGTATCACGTTAGTTAGTCTTGGCTTTCAAAGCGACTTTAAAGATTTAAACTTACTTTGGGTGAAAAAATAAACTAGAAAGATTCTACTGATGAACTCTGTCCCCGATTTTTCAGATTAATGTGTGGAGAGCAAAGCTGAATCATGTTTTGCCCTCACCCCTCTATCAAATTGAAGCTTGGGTCCAGGAGGTAGAGAATCTCACAGATGAAGATTTGCCAGCCTCCCAGGATTACTCGGAATCCAGGACTCAAACTCAAGAGAAAACGACTTTATTCAAGGTAGGAAAAGAAAAATGAGACATGAAAAAAATCTATACTTTCTTAGGGACTGTTCCTGAGGAAGGCTGTGCTCTAGGAAGAAGGAAATATAGTGGGTATTTGAGGATAGTTTAGAATGATCTCACTGCGGGGGTTCTGAGATCTGGAAGATACCTCACGTTCTTTATGTTGTGCTAATTCAAGGATGAAACAAGAAGAATTGAATCCAGTAAGTTCTAAAGGAGCTGTACAGTCTGACCGAAAAAAAAAAAAAAAAAAAGAAGAGGGAGGCAGGGAGCTGGTTTAAAATGTAGCAGATTGAGTTCTCACTATATATGGCATGAAAGAATTTGATATGTAAGATTTATAGTATTTGAGTCCACAAAAAAAAAGGAAAATATACCAGAAAACAAAATATTTTCATAATGCTTTTTGCAAAGAAACTGCAATCTGCATTTCTGTAAAGTGTTCCATTTAAAATATTTACGATGAAAATGTTT